ATAAATCGCCGCGCCCCCGCCCCCTTTTAATAGAGACGCAGCCAATTTCTCCTCCAGCTCCTAGGAAATTACTATCCTACCAGTTTTCCTTCTATAAATAGTCGCGCATCTTGAAACAAAAGTTCGCAACCGCAGCCAGATGCTGCGAGGCCCGCGGTTTCCCGGGCTGTGGGACATAATTACAAGGTCCGGGCGCAGAGAGCGCTCCAGGCCCGGCGGGCAGCCCCGGCTGCGGAGGCATCGCCTGGATTTGGGGTAGGGGGGGCAGGCCGCCCAGGGCAGGGCTCCGAGCCGGGTGGGGAACGCCTGATCATTGGGGACTCAGGCTAGGAAAGTGCCAGGCCAGAAAGTCCTGCTGTGGCGTTCCTCCTGGGATCGACTCAGGAGGTCTTGAAATCTCAAGCCTCTGGTTCTCAGAGGTCGGAGGTGGAGATCAGAAGTCTCCCCCTCCCCAGAATCCCCAGCGTGTCAATCTTAAGCCTTTGCTAGGGAATCGGTAGCTACTCTGCTTAAGAAATCACTTTCGGAGCCAGCTGGCTGAGGTCTGGCGTTAACGGGGAGGTGTCCAGGGGTGGGAAACCAGGAGTCCTCCCCCGGTGGTTTGGAGTAAGAATCTGGGACGAGGAGGTGGGCTCGGGGCTCAGGAGCTGGTGAGAGTGGGATGCCGGGGCAGCAGCTGAGGGGCTCTGGGGCAGGTGATGGCCAGTACACCTCCACAGACCCTAAGTTTTCCTTTGGGGGTTGGCACCCCAAATCCAGGCCTGCCGTGACTACCATCTGTGCCCACAGAGGCTCGCTCCTCGAGTGTGCACTGCCAGCTTTGTTGGCAGAAATTCTCCTAAGGCAACAGCTTTCCCGAACGTTCCTGGACCAGTGCTGGGGTCTGGAGTGGATGTGTGTGTGGGGGAGGGCGGTAAGGCAGACTCTGCCCCCTGCCCCACCATCAGCAAGCCCTGCCCCAGTGTCAGTCCAGCCTGACCTTCAGCCCCAGGGGGAAGAAAGTGCTGATGCCAGCCCTTCCTGAGCAGAAACGAACGCCAGCGTTCCTGAGAGGGAGCAAGGGAGGCTCCGGCATCGCTGGGGTTCCCCCCAACGTTGGTGGGCATAGGGCTGACTAGGGTTAGGGTTAGGGGTGTAAGATGCCATGGGTGGAAGCAGGTCCTCAGTGATGCAAATGAATGTGAGTGTGGAGAGAAGACCCTGTGGGCCGCCTATGAGCTGAGGCCTGAATGTGCTTCAGTCACAGTTGGGGGTCAGTGGTAAAGCCCATCCCAGTAGTCTTCTCAGAATGCTCCCAAAGCTTGGCCCTGGGGATCTGAGGATGCCAGGGTCAGGAGGGGGCCCTGGGCAGAGGCTTCTTTCTGCCCCAGAGAACTTTCCAGAAGGCATCCATTGCTGGGATCACAAACACTGGCGGACAATTGATCCTGCCCCTTTCATCTGGGCTGCTCTCCCGGCTCCGCATCCCGGGCTGTGGTCCGTGCACAGCGAATCCCAGATGCATGCCTGGGCCGCTGCCACTGATCTGGTCGGACGGGTGTGCTGGCCTGGAAGAGCCCCGAGCCCCTGCCGGACTCTGAGCTTGGCCTGGCTGGCCATCCGAGGCAGCTCCGGCCAGCGCGGCTCTCCACTGTTGTCAGAGCCGGTGGTCTCAGGGCCAGTGAGGATCAGCAAGGGCCTAAGGGAGGGCAGGTGGGGGGCTGCAGGCCGAGGGGAGGGCCTGCGGTGCCGGCTCGGCGGATCTGGGGGCCAGGCTCAGGCCTCGTGCCAGGACCGGGCTGACCTACTGTCCTGGGCAGGTCCCTTCCGGTTTCGGCCTCCCTCTCCCAGGCATGGGGCTGGCTGCAGTGATCCCCCCATATCTTCCGGTACGAGTTTCTCGTGGTGACCGCTGCTCTGGGGACCAGAGTGAGTCATGGTGACGGGGCAGTTACTCACCGACCACCTGGCCGTGGGGGTGAGGGCGCTCACCACTGCCCTGCCAAGGCTGGGCCTCTTCCCGGCTCTGCCGCTGTGGCTTTATTGGTGGTGCCAACCGCAGTTCCAGAAGCCCTGTGGACATGACCCTGGAAGGGGGCTGCTGAATCAGGCCCACTCCCATGGTATCGCAGCCTACGTGGGGGCAGAATGGGGCCACCGGCTCAGGCAGGGACAGGTTGCCCTGGGGAGGAGCAGCTCCTAGCTAGGAGACTGTGCGTGTCCCGGTACGGGAGGAACTCTGCTGTGTGGCCTCGAGCAGGTCCACGGGCCTCTCTGGGCCTCAGTATGCTTGCCGTCGGTCACTTGGAAATGAAGATCCTTCCAGCACAGGCTCAGGTCAGGCCCATATGCCACTGGGATTCAAAAGCACGTGTGGCTCTCTGGAGGGGTGTGCACACGGGTGAGCCGAGCTGGGGAACCTGACAAAATCTCAACCCCCAAGGGACCCCCAGCTCAAGATATACGAATAGAACTGCTCTGATCACAGAGAACTTCGAGACATCGTTGACGTGTGAGTGAGGCTCGACAGCCACTAGTTAAAGGCGGAAGTGGTGCATTTGGGACACGACTCCTTCGACCTTCTGTGTGTGGGGCGGGAGGGTCAGGAGGGGAAGGTGGGTCCCCCCATGCTTCCTCCCAGGGCTGCGTTAGGCCCTGCAGCTATGTATTGCGGCCTGCGGGAGAAGGCCCATTTTCTAACCACGTTTCCCTTTGGTCCTTGTGAAGCCAAGGGGCCTGATGGTGACGCAGACACCAGGTTCACATCACCGTTCCTCCTCTTACTACCTGGGTGCATCCCGTAACCTCAGCTGTGTCCTCTGTACAGTGGGGGCCATGGGAACAGTAACCTAGAGGGGGTGTGAGACTTCAACAGGCAAATGCTGAGATGAGTTCTGCTGGTTGCCTGGTACACAGTAAGTGCTCAGAAGATGGGGTCGTTCTCAGCTATTAGGAGCAGGGAGGCTGGCCACCCGTGACAGAGGGAGGCCCTGTGTCTGTGCTTGTTCAGTAGAGAGTGATGAACTCTCTAGGGGATCTCAGAGGGCTTCCCGGAGGAGGTGACACTTAGGGTTTTGAAGGATGGATAGGAGTTGCCCAGACTAAACAGGAGCACAACAGAGACTCTTAGAAGAAGGAACGATACTCACTGGCAAACACATCCAGCCAGGGTTCCTCTCCAGGGAGCCTCTCGGCATCTTATTGAGGTGGGCAGACAAGAATGTCAGGGTCCAGGAGAGAGGCCCTTTCCTGAGGTCACCCCTGGGTAGCAGCCCTCCCGGCTCTGGTTCAATAGCGAGAGGAGTCCCGGGATCTCTGGGGCCTCCAGGGTGGTACAGGCAGCTGTTGGAGGTGCCCTGGAGAGGGGAGGTCACCACGAAGGGAGGTGATTTTTGATTTTTGATGCCCTGACTGCACACTGTTTCATTGGGCTTCTCTGGGGACACCATGGACACAGGTCTGGCAAGTTGCACTCCTTGCCTCTGCCCTCCCCACACACTCGTGTCCCCCGGAGCCTCATGCCAGCCTTGGGGAGCAGGGGGCCAGGGCTGCTCAGCCTGCGGGGAGCCCAGAACTGGGCTGGGGACCTGGACCATTGCCATAGTCCGACTGCCCTGGAAGGACCCTGCAGGCGGTGGCAGACGAGGGGGTGAGGTGGGGTGGAGGCCTTGGGTGTGGGGATGCAGACCCTCTGTCAGCTCAGGATTTGGGGTACCCAGAACAGGCCCCCCCATGTGGCCTGTGGCCAGCCCCCTAACCTCCTGGGGCCTCGCTCCTCCTGGGGCAGATGGAGGGGCTTCAGCTGGCTCCCTGAGGCCTCCATGTTGCATGGTCCTGGGTCCAGCTCAGACACAGCTCACCTCCCCCCCCCGCA